TATACTTTATAAAAAGTATTACAAATTACAATATGATATAAATAAAAAAAATAAAAACTTGTTTTCGTTAAATTATTTGTATTTTTTAACACTTTTTATTTTTAAAACTCTATTCTTTATTAACTTTAAAAAGAAATCAAAAATATATATTTTTTGTAAATGTATTTCAAAAAATAATTCGTTTTCATTATATAAATATTTTATACTTTATAAAAAGTATTACAAATTACAATATGATATAAATAAAAAAAATAAAAACTTGTTTTTGTTAAATTTTTTGTATTTTTTAACACTTTTTATTTTTAAAACTCTATTCTTTATTAACTTTAAAAAGAAATCAAAAAAATATATTTTTTGTAAATGTATTTCAAAAAATAATTCGTTTTCATTATATAAATATTTTATACTTTATAAAAAGTATTACAAATTACAGTATGATATAAATAAAAAAAATAAAAACTTGTTTTTGTTAAATTATTTGTATTTTTTAAGACTTTTTATTTTTAAAACTCTATTCTTTATTTTATAATAAAAAATAATATTAAATAGGCGAGCCCACGAGCCGAGCTAGTGGAATTAAGGGTCGAGCCAGCTCGGCTCGGCTCGGCCCATTGCCAACCCTATCAATCCCAGACTTAGGTGGGGCGGGCGAGGATGATGAAGAAATATATTTTATTTAATTATTTTTATTGATTTGGGTTAAAAAAATACAAAATTACCATTTTGTTCTTTTTAAAAATTGTCTGATGTTTGACTCTGGATCAACTAACAATCAATTGGATAGCAACTAAGGTGCTTCACACACATTTATTGAAAGGATTGAAACGTCAATACTATTTAAAGTTTTGAAACTATGTTGCACATGTTCAAAATAGTTATGTTATAGGTGCAGAAAAAATTTGACAAATTTTTTACAAAAGAACGCTGGACAATTTTTCATTGGTTTTCAACACAAAAATGGTAGAAAATGCAGCATACAAGTGGTAGCACCTGTATGATTTATGTGAATAATTCATTTTTCAAAAGGTTTGAAACCTCCCCTACAAATTTTTCGTAAATAATAATATAGATTTACCAACAAATGAAGATTTTGATATCAGTGTTAGGGTGGCTATCAACTTAAAACTTCGTCAAAGCATAATTAAAGATCTCCCACTAGATTTGTCAACAAAGAGAATAAAATGATGAAGAAAAGAGTTGTGTAGCCTACTTTAAATTTATTGAGAATAAAGTTTAATTTGTTATTGCTTCACTCATCAATAATCTTCTATTGTATAACCTCACACTAGATTTAATTCAAGCTTTACGGCATGATCTTCCCTCTACAAAGTATAGGATATATAAAATTTATAGACTTTTATTTCTTCAACGTTCTTATAATTTGGTATTTATGTAAAATTTTGCCTATTCATAATTCATATACATTCTTTTTCGATTTTATGTGTATAATTTTGCTATAAGAAAAAGTTTTCTTGCTGCAGTAGCCAAGCTTATTAGGTGAACTTCTATTTATACGAACAAAAGTTGTGTGCTCGTCCCCTTCTTGTAAATTCTTATCCTCTTATTGAAGTAGTCTCATAAACAGTTTCATTCTAGCCATTTTGCCAAGACACCAACAAAAGTGTAAAGTGAATCGACTCATACCCTTTTATGGCTGTGCACTTCAGTTGGCCTATTGGTCAGCACGACTCGTATTTTCCACCGTGCTGACCCGTATAAAAAAGTGAGGCACGACATAAACCCTATGCATAGCTCCTAACAATACTTTTTGAGACAAAAATACAAGATAAAAGATTAAAAAGGTCCATGTGGGGTAGTTGCGTGGAGACGACATGACTTGACACGGAAGAAAGAGAGAAATAAAACTTCATCGGAGTCGACAAAATTAGGAAGCCCTTAATCACAATTTACAAAGGAGTTAACAAGCTATTAGCAAGATAACTAGCTAGAACCAAATAGCCTTGGCATTAATGAGCATTTGCTTTAGAGAACCATCAACATGGAGAGAGATCACATCCGTGGCCGAGCCAACATATACGCCGCCTATGAACACGGCGGGCACAGTGGGGCTGCAGCCTAAACCTCTCAAGGCCAACTCCATTTCTCTCCCTCTTGCTTCTTTATCAAGTTCATGTATAGCCGGACTTGCACCTAGATCATAGAAAAGTTGCTTTATGCTGTAACACATGCAACATGAACTCTTGGTGAAAATCACTGCTGCCTTCTGTGAAGCCAAATCTCTTATCTTATCCATTTCAAACTTCTGCTGCTAAAAAAAAAAAAACCCTTGTAAAGGATCGGTAACTTGATTGAACGGCTAAATATCGTATAAACTTTTGGTGTTCTTGGTGTATTTGTGTGTAGTTTGAGCTTTCATCATCCTTATTTATAGAGGTAGTTGACAGTTATGGATTTCATTGTTTATCCTGTAGAGGAAAAGCTAGAAATATTCATGCATATAAAAATGAAAAGAGAAAGTAGGTTTTTGTCTACATATTGAACATATCCAAATGATGTTTGTTTGGAATCGAATAAATTTAAGGATTACACTGTTTATCGAGAAGAGGGAAATTTATCTATCTGGCTTTCGTAAGAGAGACAATGCAATACTATCGTATACTGTGTACCGAACATGCTAAAAAAATGGATTTTCAGATAAGAAAAGGTGTGTAACAGATTTCTTGAGAATAATCCTTCGTGCCGGATAAGAGTTGACTCATTTTAATGTTCATATAGCCAATCAGAATCATACAACAAGATTAAGTGCTAAGGGACCTTGGGATATATTCTTTTGTTTTGTGGGAGAAATTCTGTGCCTTGATGCTAACTTTTGGAGAGATTAATATAATATTATTCAAATGGACCTACATTTATAAAGAGACATATGGTACTGCTATAAATGAGATACTAAATCTAGGGGAAAAAAGGTTTAAAATTTTGTTTATTTGTGGATTTGACTTCTTTAAGGATAAATTTTGATATCCCCTAGAAAATTATTATTATTAAATTGTGAAATCTAATTATTGTTGTTATGTGAAGCTAGTATGTAAATTGATATTCACGATGAGATCATCATGGGGTTGAAGGAGGCAAGTAGACTCTCTCCCATGGGGGCTGGGGCTCGGACCAAAATTTCATTAAAATTAGTTTAAATTTTCATACATGTAATTTTGGTTTTCCCTATTATGTATTATAAGTAGGGAGTCATTGTTAGAGTTTTATTTATATCATAGAAAAAAGGGGTGTTAGAGGAGATAAATGTATGCATTTTTTCTTGTAAACTTCTTTTCAACATAATAAATTACTGTTGTGGTGAAAGAGGACGTAATCTTACATTGTACGAACCTCTATAAATCTTAGGCGATCTCGAGTGTTTAGTTTTCTTTTTTAAGAACTGATTTCTCTCGGTAAAATATAATTAAAGTTTCTAACTCTCAACACATGATTGAGTTCTTTATATGGTTGTCAATTTCTTATTACTTTTCTCAAACAACTTATTTAAGTATTGGAGTGATTTTGTGCAATACACTAATATTATGAGTCAAACTTGGGTACACTAAAGACATGCCAAATTTTGGATGCTATAATTGTTGAGGGATAAAATTTCACATTGAATAAATATGAAAATATAAACCAATTTATAAGGGTTTGTGCTACTCCTTTTGATAAGATTGATCTTTTAAGATAGAACTCCAAATTTTAATATGGTATTAGAACGGCCAACGAACAATTAAATCAGATTAAAACACAAAAAAAAAAGAGTGCAAAGATTTTAAGATTGATCTGCTCAATGAATCAACATCTCGCAGGGCATGTTAAGAGAGAAAATTTCACGTTAAACAAATATGAAAATATAGAAGAACTTATAAAAATTTGGATTAGTTCTCTCAATAAGGTTGATCTTTTAAGATGGAATCCCAAATTTAAACAATAATTACCACTTGGGTGGAATGTGAAGCTAGGTTGTTGTCTGGAATCCTTGGCTGACGTGTAAAAATTGTAAAGGCCAAAGCTTATCCAATTCATTCTCACTTCAACTTGGGGAAAACCAGAAAATGGCATAAAATTCTAGCAGAAGAATAAGAAAACCAAGAAATCAGCAGCTGTTTCCAGCAAAACTATTTGCATTCCAGGCCCATCAGAAACAAAGTTATGGTTCAAAATCCCGTCAAACAAAGTTTGAATGGTTAAAGAAAGCATCCAAGGTTCTAACATATTAATTTTTCATCAAAAGACGACAGTGATTCAATTCATTTAAGTTTTGTTACCACCCATTTATGAAAATCGTTCAAGTATTAGGGATTTGATAAAAAAAAAAAAAAAAATTTAAATCCAACCTACTTTCGAGGGATGTATCGAAAAATAAAATGAGGAAAGCATCTTCTATGGATGATCATCACCAAATAAGAATCATAGCCTTGTTGTAAAGCCAGGAATTTTCATTTGCATTATGCTTTTGGCACACTTGTCATTCAATTTGAATGTCCAACCACAATGAGATAGGCAGATTCCATCCTTACGTGATTAAACTACAAAATCATCATTCTTCTGTGGTCCTCGTTTGGCCTTTGTTTTTTGAGGTCTACTCTTCAACTGTTAAGAACATTATCTATAATTCTATTTAGGCACCATTTTACTCTTAAGAGTTCCCACGTCACTTTAGGCGTCGGGAGATTCTTCGGAAAAAGTTTTTAAAGACCACATAACCTATTATTCTACTAATAAATTTTTTATGGGCTTGTTTGAACCACATTATTTTTAAAAAAATACATTTTTAAACAGTGATTTGACATTATTTCAACCACACATTTTTCAATGAAATAATATTATACGTAAATCTAAAAATTTCTCGTCCTTTTTAACCAAACATTTCTCATTGATTTGACATGAATAATGCATTTTTTTCCGAAAATGTGGCTCGAACATGGGCTACAATAAGCAATAACAAGGATGGCAAAATATCATGTCCTCGCCATGTCTGAGAATTGGGACGGAGATCGTGTTCCCTAAAATTAGGGCTGGGCAAATCTCTCGAATCGAACCGACCGAACCGAAACCGAACCGAACCGAACCGAACCCGACGGTTCTTGTCAAATTAAATACCCGAACGGAAATCTGAATTGAGAACTGATGGGTACGGTTCGGTTCTCGGTTCTAGACCAAGAACCGAAGAACCGAATAAGAACCGAATCTTTCTAATTTTTTTTTTATATTGAGTAAATCAAATTATTTTAATTTTAATTTTTTCTAAACAAATTAACAAATTAACGATTTCTAAATCCAAATTTTTGGCCCAATAATTTGTTTCATTTCTAATTTTTTAATTTTGGTCCAATTACCCTTTTTATTGTTTCATTTCTTAGCCCAATAAGATCCAATCCACTAAATAACCTTAAACACCTACATTAAAGTGCATAACATTGTCTCGACTCTCGTACTCACTCTCGCAGCCTCGCTAATATTCCAAAACCTATACAATCGTCGGCCGACACTGTGACCTCCGATCGAAGTTGTAACCTCCGCCGATCGAAACTTTGATCGTAACAATCATTTGAACAAGGTAGTTTACTAGTCTCTGACATTCCAAAATCATTGAATGTATCATTAGTTGTATTTATATAATGTTGTTATAAATGTTAAAAAATTTAATTATAATACAGAATCGAATGGAACCGAACCGAACTGAACTGAACCGAACTCGAACGGTTCCATAATTATATTTGGACCCGACGGTTCCATTTACTAGATACCCGAAAATTTGGTTCGGTTCGGTTCTCTTTTGATTTTCCATATTTAGATATGGAAAAATGATCTCATAAATACCGATGCTTAACTTATGTTAAGCATCGGTGATATGGAACACCATTTAATTGGTGAATAAGTTAATGATAGGTTCCTTTTATTTAATGATTCACCAATTAAATGGTGTGCCATGTCACCAGTGCTTAACATAAGTTAAGCACCGATGTTTAAAAGATCATTCCTGTATATATATATATATATATATATATATATATATATATATATATTCACCTTTTTGTGATAAAAACGATCATTTTGGGTCTTTATAAAAAGTGTGATTAGCTTTGTTTATAGGCAATAAAAAATCTCCACAGATCACAGTAATAACTTTTCCAATTTTCTATTAATAATATTAAGGCATATATCTCAAAAGATAAAAAAGAATCTTAATTTATTATCTAAAATTTAAAAGTAAAAAAGTATGAGTTCTTTATCACGAAACCGACCACACCGACTTTTATTAGTACTAATTAATTTCAATTTTTAAAACCATAATAGCCGACATTTGATGCCTAAATTAGGTATCTTTTCAAATGAAAAGAATATGTAAAATTGATTTTAGTACACAAACTATGTGGTGAGAAGAAGAGAATATGGAAAAAATTGCAAATGTGATCTTCGAACATTATCACGTCGAGCATTTGAATCATATGAAAATTTCTTGATTTTTATATCTCAAAACATTTAATTTCGGGTTCTTTTGAACGAAAATCATCCAAAATTGTTTTAAACAATTATATGCTCACGAAGAATGGTGTAATAATATTTAACACATTTTTCATGCACTAATTATATGGTGAGAAGTGGATGATAACATTGGAAGAATTTTTTTTCCAATTAGTGACATGTTGAAACATGGATATGAATGGATAATTTTGCCATGTCCTTGGGGATATTTAGTTATGTTGTGTTATCAACTTGTCGTGATATGTTTATCTAAGGAGGTTGTCTCAATATAAATAAGTAAAAGTTGACATAATATATAAAATCTAAGGTGACAAATACATTTGTCTGGGGAGGTTATCTCAGCCATAATCGAGACTAGCTTCAAACAATATTGAAAAGTAGAGACTAGCCACACATATGAGTAACGTAATGAAAGATTAGGTGGTTTGCACCAATTTTGGTGACAATATTTCTAACTGGTCGAACTCAATAAATATAGGGGAACTGAATGAGGGCTAAAGTAGCAGTAGGCTGTCGGAAATGTCGAACTAGGTTGTCCCAAGTCAATCATCGATCTGAGGTTGCATTAATCAAGAATACACAACAAAAGTGTGCTAGCGTGCGTACTCTTCCTCTATGAGAGAGACTCCATCCCATTAGCAAATTCTATAGTTGCACCATTAGAACCAATGAAGCAAATGATTAACCCGTAATATCATATGACGAAATGAAAAATACCAAAAACGTCTAATCTTGTACAACAAGCTAGCTTTTTACCCTCAAATTCACCCTACCGACGTTCAACCGATGAATGGGCCTAGTGAATGATGCTTACAGCTTTTCCTATTTCGGCTTGAATTGAAGGGGTTTCGATGAATCTTTCTTCCAAAGGTGATTTGTTCTTCCTGGTTGATTTGTTATGATCATTCTTATACTCAAGTTGGCGGAAAGTCTCCTATCTTGCAAGCAACTTCTATCAAAAAAGGTCCATTATCAGTGAAGTGGTGAGGTCGGCTGTCACTTAAAATTGATGCTACATGGTATTA